GCGGGAACTTGGCCGGGAAAGCCCCGGCTCCGTCCTGCGGGAGCCGGAGCACGCGGTGGCAGTCGCTGCCGTTAGCTGGGCCGCTGCGTCCCCTTGGCAGCGGCGTCACCGCGGGCTCTCCCTCGCTTCCAGATGAAGCTCCTGGCTCTCGCCCTGCTCGCCCTGCTGCGCCCGGCCCGCGGTGAGGAGGGGGCCAGGCTGCTGGCCTCCAAGTCGCTGCTGAACAGGTACGCGGTGGAGGGCAAGGACCTGACCCTGCAGTACAACATCTACAACGTCGGATCCAGGTGGGTGCCGCGCGGAGGCTCCCGCGTCGTTCCCGCTCCGCCGGCCTCTGTGAGCTCCCCAGCCACCCCATTCCTGCCCTTCCTGCCGCTTCCCCAAGCGCCTTCCCCGCTGCGTCCAGTCCTGCCTCCTCCTTTCCATACCCTTCGTCTCTCCTCCCCGTCTCGGTGGTTTTTCCCCAAAGTCAACGTTCCAAAAGTCAATTCCAGCCGCTGAACTGTCCCTATGGACCTGTCGTCGCTCTGCCCCGACGAGCAGAGCTCTGCTCCAAGACTCTCCTCTCCCCCCTGTGCTGCTTTTAGTGCTGCTCTGGATGTGGAGCTGTCGGATGATTCCTTCCCCCCGGAGGACTTCGGCATCGTCTCTGGGATGCTCAACGTCAAGTGGGACAGGATCGCTCCGTATCTTTTCTCGTGTTGAAATAATCCCCTGGATTATTCTCCAGGAATAATCTCCTCTTATTCCTGAACAACCCAGAGCTCTCCTGTGTTTGTTCCCTGTCGCTGGAATTCCAGCTCCCTGTGCGCTGGCCGGGGGGGTTGGATGCCAACCTGGCTTCTCCATGAAGGCGCTGGATAAAAATTCCTTGCAAAGAGCATCGGATCGACACGCAGCTCATGAGGCCGGGAAGGAGGGAGCGAGTTTTGGGCACCTGTAACTGTGGAGGGCTGGGATCTGTCAGCTCGACCGTCGCTGCATTGCGGTTGTGCTCCGCCGAGGAGCGCGGCAGCGGGTGAAACGCCCCGGTTTTCCTTGACTCGC